GATTGGAGCAGCTGTGACGTCACGAGATCAGATGAAGAACAACAACAAAACGAGAAAGAGAGAGAGACGTCATCAAGAGAGAAGGATTATGGCTATATATTCGCTGTGTAAATTATCCTAAGACCTTTTATTTATACTGAGGCATACATCTACATAAAGGCTGTCTTGAGAGTGAATGATTAGGTCACATATATGGTAAATGATGCGAAGTGAAGACAAAAATCATCCGGGTTTGGGGGCGTTTACAGCCGATTTTTCCCGATTTTGATTAATTTAATTTCAGTCAGACGAATCGGGAAGATGTCAAGTGAAACCCGATGATTTATCTTCTGATGTCACTGCCGTCTGTAATGAGAAGTGCTCGGTTAACTTACAGTGTATAGAATGTACATAGGAAGTGGATGTGTTGATTTTCTTTGGATTTTCATATTGTTGCAGTAATTGCATATCTGGAAATAATAAAAGATGCTCTATATTTCAATTGTGCTTGACAGAGTTATCCCTAAGTACCATGAATGATACAGAATGAAAGTAGAACAGCTAAAGGAAAAGTGTCAGATCAGCAAGTTAATTGCCTTACCAGCAGTTAAAAGTGTTTAACCCTCAAGTGCCCTGCACAACAAATTTGTTTAATCAGTCTTCATTCCTTTTAGTGGGAAAGAGTAATTCTGGAACCACCTTTTGCCTGATTTAACAAACTGTCCAGTCTACCTCTCACAGAGAAGATCACCTCAAAACTGACAGGTTGAGTTTGAAAGCCATATATATATATATATATATATATATATATATATATATATATATATATAATATATATATATATATATATATATATATATATATACACATATATACATATACATATATATACATATATATATATATATATATATATATATATGTATTATATATATTATATATATATATATATATATATATATATATATGTATATGTATATATATATGTATATGTATATATATATGTATATGTATGTATATGTATATTTATGTATATGTATATATATATGTATATATATGTATATGTATATATATATATATATATATATGTATATATGTGTGTATATATATATATATATATATATATATATATATATATATATATATATATATGTATATATATATATATATATATATATATATATATATATATATATATATATATATATATATATATATATATATATATATATATATATATATATATATATATAATTTGACTGACAATTTTCAAGATACAAAAATGAAAGAAAAGGAAAAGACTGTTATCCGCCAAATATTGTCCTTGAAATAATGACTCCATATTAGTCAAACAGTACAGGTGTAATTGGTAGAAATTCATGTAAACTCATCAAAGAATGAGAAATGTTTTGATATTCATTTGCACCAAAATATCTGGAAGTATGAGTTAGTGTTTCGTAAGTCATAATTATGAAAGTTATTTTGAAAAATAATTGTATTGATATGTCCGTAAAAGAAAAAAAAATACAGTAAGATATGCTATATTATTTGAGTTGCTAAACACATTAGAGATTATATAATGGGTGCCACAGACATAGGTGCTGGTGGATATTATGTGAATATATGTTAAGTAAAGCATAACTGTGACTTATAACTTTGGATATCTAGTGATTGTTTAGCAGTCAGATTGAAGTCATATCTATACTCACATTTAGTTTTTCTGTGATTTTATTTAGTAATTTATTTGAATGTTTGAATGTTTCTTAGGCTTTGTTGTGTTCTATACTGCTTTTACTATTTTAGTTTCTACATCAGTGTTAAATTAAATGTTTCACCAGACCTCCTACCTCTGCTTACCTCTAATATTTTCATTCTGGCCTGAATTATATGAACTATCACTAAGATGAAACTATACATAAGGGTATAATGGATACGTTATGATTACATAGATTTCATACATACGTCAACTTGACTGACATACTAGGAAGGAAACATACTAAACTAGTTATAGTTATTCAGTCACTAAGGAATATTTAACCCACTGCCAACATGGATGGCATGGACCTATAAGCTGTGCCCACTGTGAGTGTAGTTTGTCTCTGTGCATGGATGGCTCCTCAAGTACTTCCTATTTCACCAGTCTTCTTTCCTTGATTTTCAGGAACATTTTCTTTTATCTGCTATTACTGCTAGTAATGATAATAATGTTATAATGATTTTGATGTTTGTACTAATAATAGCAACATTGATTTTGATAGCATTATTAAAAAAAAAGAAATTCCAAAAACTCAGGAGAGGTGAAATCACGGGAGATATTGAGGTCAACTTTTTTGACTACTTGGTGGCTGAGCACTTGGTGAGCTACCTATGTATAGAGGGATTTCACTAAACAATGTTATAGTGATGGCACTGGGTTGATAGCAGTAGAAAAAAAATGCCCAGAAACTCAAGGAAAAGGGAAATCAGGTGACATCACAGTGCCTACTAATTGACTCCTTGGTGGTCGAGCACCTGTGGCGGCATCTACTTGTAATCACATTTCACAAGACAAAACTACAGTAAATATTATACATTCTTGGCAGCATTGGGTTAATATCTGTTTGTTACACTATGCGTTCATATATTAGCTGGTTGTGATACATTCCTTTTATGTATGCAGGTTCTGATGGAAAGTGAATTAGCTGGCGTGTTGGTCAAATGATTCCCCAATCACCGTAGTAGGGAATGAACTTAATTAAAGCTATATCACCTTGAAGGATATAGAAAATTGAAGGTGAGGATACGTCTTTGATTAAAATGTCATAATACATCCTATGTATTGTATTTCATACTCTCTTTAGTTTGATACCCTGCACCACACATGTATGAGAAAAAAAAAATAAAATGGTTTTTAAAGAATGATAAAAGAGATCTTTGTTTCAGGATGGAGAAGAGTGGGAAGAGTTCAGCGTAAGGGTGTGACCATGGAGGCTGCCAAGGCTTCTCCTGATGAGCCAGATGGTGTGAGGTAAGAGGAGTAGTTTTTGCTCCTGTCAGCCTTAGACAAAAGAATGCTTAGCTAGAGTCATTTTCGTGTGAAGATTGAAGAATGGGTGAGCATTGCACAAGAGGGGGTCACACAAATGAATAAACTTTTTTTAGTATTCTTGAAATTAGATGTGAAGTTAGCATAAATTCCACATTTTCACTAATTTTGAGGTAAATTTTTGTTCATAGAAAATATTCAGCTCATCATCTATTGTGGCTGTACTAAACTGCAGCTGTCGATACTAAAAAGAACTAACTGTTTGTTATCATGGCATTACATGTAATCTTTGATTAATATGCAGTATAGATACAATATCTATACAAATACATGTACATTTACAAATAAAAGGACATTTATATAAGCAAATAACACATGCACATGCAGAAAACAGTTACAAACACAAACATATGTGTACATGCATAAAGTAGTACCCAGAAATACTCATGTTAATATAGAAATGTTTCATTAGGATTTGCAATTTCAAACTTAATCTCCTTTAGATAATGATAAGAATGAAATATGAAAGAAAGCATAGAAACTGCATATGTTGTAGTATAGGAGAACACAAACACAGTATCTGGTTGGCTACAGATTCTCCAAGGTTGTGGCAATGTGTTATTTATGCAATAAGCGCTAGCTCATGAATGTCAAGTAACTTGCAGCTATTACCTAGTAGACATATGATTCATAATCTTACTTATGCAGGTAATGCAGATGAAGTTATAAATTAAAGTTTGTCAGTTACATCTTTTACTTTTACTATTTCTGTTTATACATTTTCAGTATTTGTCCCAAAGAACTCTGTTAAATTACTTTCCTCTTGACTTGCTACCCTTCTCCCAGCATTCTTCCTTGTTGGCAAAACATTTCTCGAACTCAGCACTTGGATATTGTCCAAGACCCCCAACATTTTCTTCCTCCTCAGTTTTTATCTTGAAAGAACATAGTGCTTGTCCACAGTCCATCCACGTGAGCTGACCTCAAGCCATGTGACCCTTCTTTTGTTCCCACACATGAAACATATGACTTGAAGGAAAGATATCTTGCTGATATAGACATGATGAAATAAAAAATGCTGAAAGCCTGGGATAAAATCCACCCTGTAGAGTTCCATAAAAAGTTCCCAGCTGTAAAAAGGTGTTTGTGGAAGTGCTTAGAGGCAAGAGAACAGTATTAACTTCACGTTTTGAAATATAATAACAGATGAGCATGAGGTAATTCCAGGTGTTTCATAGCAATTCCTTGATGGATATGAGCTTTGTGGACTATAAAACTTACCAAAAATTTGATGATTTGATTTTTCTTGAAACATTTTTCACTCCTTTAGGTTTCTTAATTTTGTAGATGAATGTGGAAGAGGTGTATATGTATGTGGATATTTATTTTAATGTCACCTATTTTTTTTTAATACAGGTAACACATTATCATTTTATTTTGCCAATATGACCATCATCATCATCATTGTTATTATAGTTTTTATTTATTTGTTTATTATTTATATTAGTATTAGTACTAGTTTTCCTTACATCATCAGTATTATCATTGTTGCTAACATCACTATCATCACTGTCACCACCATCACCATCATCAATCATCTTCATCATCAATCATCTCATCTGTATTACATTTCATAAGGTTGATAACAATAACTAGAACTTACTGCAGCAAGAAAAGAATACTACTGTAGCTATGCATTATCTTTTCTGTGTGTGTATATTTGCTCTTTACGGAAGTAGATAATTCAGCAGACTGCATAGAAGGGAAGTGTGATTATAAAGAGGAAAAAACATGATAAGGTTACATATTTGATCAGATGTTTGACGGCAAGAAATTTCCTCACAGGTGTACAGTGTAAGTAGTCATATCATGCTTTTGTTATTTGAATTTTGATGGTTTTGTAGTTTAAAAACACTGAAACGATTATGAGTATTTTTGATATCATGTATATGTGGTTCCAGTAAGTGGAGTGGATTTAGTTGCTGCAGAAAACATGTAGAGACATTTTTAAAAACCTCTTATAACTGAGTGGACATTGTGATGAAAAATGAAAGATGGTTTCACATACGAATTCTGATAAATTGGCTTGAGATATATTGATCTGCTATAGTGGGACTTCATTTCAACCCCTAAGCACTGCAAACCCATCAGCTGATCTGTACCCCCAGCTGCATAAAAAGGCTTAATTTTTCAACTTTCATTGTTGTAAATTTTGGTGGCATGCAGTTGAAGGGCACAGTTTTATGCACAAAAAAGTGTATACTTCATTGTCATTTTTGCAAATGGAGTGTCATTAGAGGGAACATTTTACACAATTTACCATTTTGTTTACCTTTGTACCTTCTAGGTTCACCAGCCAGCAGCAAGTGGTACAGCTGTGGACATACCAGTATGCCCTGCGCTTAAGGCATCTCTCACAGGTGGTGGGCAGGAACTTGCGAGGCCATGGCACTTATCCTGCACCAAATCCTGATTGTCCCCTTCCTTCAAAATCCCCACGACCCTTAGCTACCCATGGGTAAGGTTGGATTTGAGTTGTATACAAATTCATAGTATGCCGAAGTCAGTGTCTGTATTTTTTATTGTAAAAAAATTATTGTTATCAATATGACAGTTATTATTATTATTTTTGTTTATAGCATGCATCTTTTGTTTTGCAGTTATGTCACAGATGTTCGTTTCCTTGAATATCATGTCATTAGAGGTAGAATAAGAAAAAAGTTCTTAGCTGGATGCTCTATGACCTAGGTTTTCAGGAAATTAAAGAGGTGTTGTTCACTTGACCTTCATTTCCAGGTACTACTATACAATTCATACACCAAAGAACAAAGATGAAATCTATTCTAGTGAACTTCAGAGCACATGTAATCCCAACTGGGTAGAATTACAGCAGGAGAACATCAGTCCAATAAATCTGAGATCTTTAAAAGGTGAGCACTGAGTTACTAGCAGCTCATTGATACGTTTGAGAATATGATGAAAAATGATTGATCTTTACAATAGGTAATGAATTATTTGGACAGTTAAGAGTGAATGTTGCAGCAGTTCAGTTAAAGAGTCTGAACAAGAATTGACGTTTGTCTAAAACGGTAAAAAATAAAAATCCAAAGGACATCTTAATGTGCAGTATTGATGATGTAATTAACAGAATAACTTCTTGAGTTCTTTTCATTTTGATACTTTTAGTATTGTTACATTCTCATCCTCAGGCATTATCATTAAGTTGGTTCAAGCCGGAGACAGAGAAAGAGAAAGCTCAACTGGTGACGTCGTGGGTATACATTTCAGTGGCCTTATCCCATTCCAGTCTTGCCTTATGACCATTAAAACCCAATACCCTGGTCCTCAAGCTGAGGCATATGTTCTACACAGCTCCTGGAAGCTACCACCAGTCTGAGCCAGGGAAGTTACTACCTCTGCTACGCTTTGGGTTTTCCTTGCCACTCTCAGAAACAAAGCGCTGCTATACAGTTAGTTCTTTGTCAAGGTCAGTACTAAGATGTTTGGTGGAAAAGTTACTTAATTTTATAGATTAATTATTTCTTCTGAGAAATATGATTTAAAATTGAGAGTGTTAACCTAGATATATACGTGTGCATCTCTTAACCCAGTGCCAGGGTATAAAAGTTTGGCAAGTGGACATAATAATGGGATTGTTGGCGCGCATCAGCAGTTTCCCCTGTTTGCGCCTTGCTACTTCAGTAGTTTTATGAGCGACATTGGGCACCTAAAAGCTCTTATTTTTCTATAATTAATAGAAATATTATAATTTTAAAGGTTTATCTTTATTATAGGTGCTATTGTCTAAAATCTTTACCAACTAAATGACCCTGTCCGACGAGCCAATGGCGCAGGAATGGGGATATGATGATGCTATCCGATATTCGGTCCACCACAGCCATGGCATACATGTACATGCCACTTGTTGGCTGGTGTTTAATATTCGTTGCCAATTTGAAAATTAAGCTACTGATACCGGGATGGCAAAAATCCAAGGCATGGGTACTGTTTTTTTGTTTGTTATAGTGTCTTTACACATAGAAGGCTTCACAAGTACTGAAACACCAAAGAGTGAATTACTATTCCTAATTCTCTCATCTGTTTACCATTTTCCTTGATTTTTAGATTTAAAAGAAAAAATTCTATTAGGATTGTTAATAACATTATAGAAATATTTATGTCAATAATTATAATGATGATAATCAGTTTTGATAACATTTGAAAATGCAGCCCACAGCCAGTAGAGTTGATGTTTGATTTGCAAGAAAAATAAACTGGACTTTTGTTTTATATTTGTTATGGTTTATATGGGATACATTTTCATTGAATATATTGGATATGAAGTCAGGGTAGTACCTGAAAGCATTTTGATTTTTCTCAATACAGTCCAGAATTAATGAATAAAACCAAAACAAAAAAACTTTTAAGTGTTGTGTTAATATGAATTTAGAATGACTCTTTTAAGATATAGAAACTGTTTTATCCCTACTCATCTTTAGTACCTTTTTAAGATTTTTGACCATTATATGAAAGAAAAGAGAGACATGCATTAATTTCTATGATAATTTATTAATGATTTTTAAAGTGACACCTGCACTGGAATATTTTGTTAGCACTCTTAGAGTAAGGAGTGGAATGTTGTTGCAAGACAGTCTTTCAGATTTCTTAATTTTCTTGGTAAGAATTCCGTACATTAAAATATTTATATTTCATGGTATAAGAAGAAATGTAATCTTGTTCTCTATTCTTAGATTACACAGCACGAAACGAGCTCAAAGACAACAAGAAATCAGATGTCAAGAGACAAACGAAGTCCTTGAGATGCGAGGCGTTACGAGAACCTCACGGGCCTCACAGTTAGCTGCTGAGGTGAGTTTTGGATGAGGAATGTTAGGCCTGATTTCTGTGGCTGAAAGTGTTTGTATTACATATGTTCTTTAGCCCTGCTTTTGTTAAATGAGTTGTTGAAATAAGTTTTCCCTCTGTTGATAAGATATTTATGGACAGCAAGAAAGTTTAAGCTCAGAATGGAAAGTAACTTGCTCCTTGGCCTTAGAATATACCTCAAGTTAAGATTTTACACCTAATTTTATGGAGCAGGAGACTTGCATTTCATCACTGGTCATCCAATTTTTTTGTCTTTGAAAGTGGAAATTTGTTGTCAAGTTAGTATCCTCCCTTCTTGCTTTTAGGAGTTTTTGTGTTAATCATGTAAAACAAATATTGGTAACAGATCCTATTTTTCTTGAAGTTTGAATGTTTTTGATGCATTAGTTAAATCATCATCAGAAATACATAGATTTTTGAATGAAGATTTAATCAAATACATCAGGTTTATTAATTGCTCTATGAAATCATTCATTTTCACTCCTAGCCATTCCTATAGTAGAAGATATATATTTATATGTATATTTAAAAGACTGAATGAAAGGCAAACTTATGTATTTTAGTACATTATATTCGCTACACCAGTAAACTAAGGGAAGAGGAGAGAGTCCTAGGGGACGGAACGAGAAAGTGGGTGTTGTAGACTGATAACCAGAAAGGGGTGCAGGAAGAAGAGTTAATCCTTTGTGGAGGCAACTTGGCTGAACATTACAGTTTAAGGATGTCCTCAAGGAAGCCATCTTGGTGTTTATGGATTAATAATGAAAAATGTGAAAAAAATACATACTTTTTTCTTCCACAAGTTGATATCTTCACAACATCTTTACAGGTCGAAGACTACAGAGTTAAAGTTGCACTTCTCCGGGAACAGCTCGAGGCTGAAATTGATCAGCTGAGGGCTCTTAAACTTTCAGCTGACAATTTGGATAATCAAAACCAAGAAAAAGGTTAGTAATTCTTCCTTGTTTTGATTTTTATTAGATATGTATATTGATGTTAGGCATTGGTGTATGTGCATATGTAATACTCTTGTTTTAGTGTGACTAACATAAACTATGCTCTTTTCTATTCTAATTTTTTCTCTTCTTGGTTTGATTATGTGTATGTTAGTTTTAATCTTAATGATATGTTGCTATTTTTATTGTTATTATTATTGTTATTGTAATTGTTATTATCAGTATTGATATTGCCTCTATTCCAGGCCTGGAGTTATTGGGAGGATACCAGGGACTTCACAGGCAATTGGTCCATGTCAGAGGCCTGCAGGATGTAACCAGTGGTGACTGGGAGAGCCTTAGAGAGGCATGCACCTGTCTTGGGGAGTGGCGCAGAATGCTTGTGTCCCAGTTGCCCTTGATCTACCCAATTACTCAAGTAAGTTATATCCTTTGTGTATCTTGTTTTTATGAATAGGGGATCAGATATTAGTGTTAATTATCATGCCTGTCAGTCTGTAAGTTTTCTATGGAAGGTATTCATCATTTGTATTTGTAGTTTTCCATTTCTTATTAAGTATGTTGATATGTTACCTTTAATGCATAAGAAAGTTCATTCCTTATATTCTGGCCATTTTCCAGGGATAGACCTCCATTAATTTTCTGAAAATTATATATTTACAGGACAGTGATGGCAAGAAGTACAGGATATGTGGTGTCCATTTGCCAGATGCGGAGAACTATGACAACTGTAATGAAGTGGCTCTTAGTGTAGGGCTTGGTTTTGTAGCACATTTAATTGTCCTGATGGCACACCTCTTGCATGTACCCTTGCGCTACCCTGTTACTCCTAATGGATCGCTGGCCACCATCACCGACACCACTTCTTTACAGCTTCGTGACAGTGAGCGGGAGTAAGTTGAGCTTTTCTAATGTGTACTGAGTGTGATGATTTGTCTGATTTAGGAAATGGTTTTTCAATTTGGAATTACCTTTTCCTAATGAGATATTTCGTATTATTAGTTCAGCTGTTGATGTAGCAATGTTGGATTCTTGTAGACAGTAATCAACATGGGATTTCGTTCTGGCTACAGGTTTCCTCTATACACCCGGGGAAAAGAGAGGGAGAAGCTGCATTTCCAATATGGTGTGTTTCTGCTCAATAAGAACATTGCACAGATACGATGGTACTGTGGCATTCCAACACAGACCTCAGGCAAACTCTGCCAAATCTGAGTGCTCTTATGATGAAGATTACTCAGTCCAGGTGATTGCCTTTTTGATGTCATAATAAGTATAGTAATCCACTGTTGAGATAGTTGATCATCTTTGTTTTGTCTAAACAGCTTGTGCATACAGCTTTTTATGTAGAATTATTTACATGTATATATTTCCAGCATTGGTGGTAACCAGCCAATGGCAGTGATGCCAGATGTTCTAGTGCCTCCTCCTGCATCACCTGTTCCTGTAAATCTTGAAGTTCGAACTCCTGCAACTCTCTTGCATCAGCAACGGTCTCCTCGCCTCCCTCTGAATCCCTTGGCTCGCAGCACATCTCAGGATAATACAAAGGTTCCCTCAAGTATTGCTGACCCTCAGGAGAGCTCTGCAGAGTGGAAACTGGGTAAATCTGATAGCGAGACCGATTCCACCAGTGAGACCTCGCCAATTAATGCATCCCTCTATGTAAGAGAAGCAGTTCCTCTGAGTGGAGAAGGTAGAACTGGAAAGTTTGTATTTGTAGACAAAGTTAACCATACTCTTGTTGATTCTGGTCATGTTGATCACCATAATATAGATGAAAGGTTATCTCATTCCAATGGGTTTAGTTTTTCATTAGATAATGGCCTCAATCACATTGGTGGAAAACACAATCCCTATTATAAGATCAGTGAGATATCTAGTTGTGATGATTTAAAGTTAATGAACAGTGTATCCAAGGCCTTAGGACTCGTACATGGGTCAGATCCTAGTTTGACAGCAAAGAAAGATCGAAGCTCTGCTGAGGAAGCAGAGGACGACGGTACCTGTTTTCAAAGAACAGACAACAGAGCTACTTAGGTCATGGCATGAAGATGCTCCATCTCATTATGAAGGTGTTTCAGAGCTTGGTAGTTCGCGAAAGTTAGAGGAAGTAGGCGTAGAGTGCGATGAGTCTTTCATGTGCCCTGCCTCCAAGAACAACCCACCCTTCTCAAGACAAGATGCCCTAATATGCAACAGTAATAAGTCCATAGAGTCTGTAGAATCCCTAGAATCAAAATTAATTGGGGGAAATGGTAAGCAGAGTCAAGAAAAGAGTCAAGAAAACCCTGTACATAAAGAATCTAGTGATTTTAGTGACAAAAAGAATACTACAGAGAATGAAAAAGATACAAAGGATTCAGCAGTTAGTGTTAAAGAAGGGCTTGAAACTGAAAGTGCTGCCCTCACTTTAAAGGAACTTGGAGTAACAGAGGACATGTTTCTTAATGATGTTGCTTTCAGAACAGCTGCATTAGCTAGTCAGAACTGTAGTTTTAAAATGTCCTTTTCAAGACAGAGCACTGAAGATGAATATCATTAACAAGTAATTTATGATTAGTATCATAAGTTTTTAAACATACATGTGATATCTTCCTTTCAATCTCTTCTCATCCTCTCTGTGTTTCCTTGCCTTGCCTTCTGTGTCTCACTTCTTACTCTACAATACTTTGCTCTGTACCTCTGTAGAGAGAGTCCTTATCACAATTTACTTGATATATTGTAGAACTAATTTGTGGTATTAGAGTGGATAATAGATAGATAGTTGAACAATATTTATATTTTATTTTTCTTCTAGTTTCCCTCATTAAAGTACAGTGATATTTTGCAGATTTTTTATTTATGGTTTTGAAATATAGTACTACAAACTGTGATAATGTTTCTTGTGCTTAGAGATTATTAAAACAGAGAGAACAAATGTAATATATATTACAGAATTCACATAGAATGTGAGCAAAGAGAAGGAAGTAATGTTAATTTTCAGTAATATCCACATTATATTGTATAATTTCCAACATGCTATGTATGTAATTATTATCACTTTCAGTTGTTTGTGAAGTTCAGAAGATTCTTTTGTTATATGTAAATATCTTTTTTTTTATTGATTTACAGTTTCTGAAAGGCGTCAAGTAAAGTGAGTAAATAGGTGTAGATTTAGTATTAAGATATACTTGCCTTTTGCACAGAAAATTGCTCAAGATTGGAAGATTTCATGATAGATTTGCAGAAGGAGAATACTCACCCAAAAAGACACACTTTACAGAGGGCTAATAAGATGAGCAAGTGGGAACAAGGAAAAGATCTGAATCTTTTTTAATGGGAAAATGAGATGGAATTTAAAATAATAGCAATATTAACTTGTATGAAGTTAATGACTTGAGCAGTTTATCAGCCTTAAGATGTGCAGATTGCCATGTCATGCAGTTTTGTTGTGCAGTTGATTTGCAAATATTTAGAAAGCAAAGACGAAGCTTAGTTGTTTTTTATTTATCCTCAAGTTTTGTTGTTACAGATTTTTGTTAGTAGAATAACAAACCAGTAAGAATTTCAGTGAAGCATTGAAAATCAATGAATTTTTGTTCTCTCTCTCTTCCCTGAGTATATCTTATTTAGATGGTTAGTGTAAGACTTTTCCAAGTGAAATGATGTGGTTGTAAAAGGAAAATGGTAAGATGTATCTTATTCATAACTACCATGTATGACGACTTCTAAGTCTGTCTTTTTTATAGTCATATTTACCATATCTAGTGATTTTATAAATACATATTAATGTATATAATGACAATAATATGCATGTCTCTGTTACTGCATTATTGATGCTGTTGTGTCTGGGTTTAAAGGGTCACATTAATGTCTTCAAAATTCTCCAAGCTATTCTATGTTTATGCAGTTTACAGTGTAATGCATTTCACTGATTGAATTTACTCATTATTTTATACTTGGATTGTAAACACCTATGTAATGGGTTGCTCACTTTTTTGTAGGCTCGTGGAATTTGTATTTGTTTGGTACATATGGAAGTGTCATAGATGGGTTGCGTGTATGTTTTTATTCGCTGGAATGTTAAGTATTTTAGTTCAAAGCAGTGAGACATGACTGTGTAAAATCATATCCCTTTGAAAAAAGACCACAGCTATTCACATTATTTAATTGATATGTTGTCTTTTATGAAAATATAGAGGGGTTATACATAGAGTGACTACAATGACAGTCCAGGTTTTCTCCAGCTTATTCAGCCATTGGACAATTTATATTGTTTCATAAATCAGTATTTTTTTTCATTTTAAAGGAAAAATACTGGCTTAATCTATTGCTACGGATGTAAAATGTTCACTATCAAATTATTTGATAATTTTTAATGGTGCATATTTATGGAAGCTCCCAAGCTTGATTCCCTTTTTTTTCACTTTTTGAAACCAATTGGTATTGCAGTTAATAAAACCATGAGAGAAAATAGTGACTCTTACATACTTCGCATGGTTCTTTCTGTAAATATTTGTAGATAAAAAAGCATCCGTCACATCAGCAATGCAAAAGGTTTTTGAAAGTGTTACAAGAACATATTTTATTAAGATGCTGTGAAACATATGGAAGTACCCAGAATGTATAAAGTTTTTTGCATATTGTAGGATTTCTTGCACATTCATCCTTGTAATATGTAGTCTGCTAAATGCTTCATTGTTAGGACTTTAACCTGGGTAAATTGTAGGTAATGTAAGGGTTGATCATGAAATAAGGTTGGAAAGATCTGGGAAAGGATGTATTTTTTAGTAGTGAGAGAATGAATAAATAATTTTATGTCATATGAAAGGACGATTAACAGTACAATGAGATGCCATAAATATTTTACATATCAAAATTAACAAATTTGGAAGGGCTTGCATCCTGCTTATAAGGCTATGATATATTGCTTTTTTAATGGTTATGGAACTTTGAAACAGATATGAACTAAATTTTTGTCCAAAATTCTGTGAAATTCGATTCTCTGAGAATGTAACCCAGTAGGGAGCCATAAAGGATGAAGTAATACATATGTAGATTGTGATAGAATGCGATTATTAGATTTATTGTGGAAAAAGTGAAAAAAAAAAAAAATTTAAACCCCACTCTATTGACAGGAATACCTCAAATCAGCAAAGCAGGTAATCTGTGTGTAGGAAACAAATTTTAAAAGATAGGAATAAATCATAGTTCAAACACCTTTCCCTCGGAGGAGACCATTTGCATATGGCCTTGTGTTAGCTCATGTGTTATGCCTTACTAGTACCATTCACATGTCAGGCATTTTGAAGTGATGACATGCGTACATTCCTTAGCAGTGTAATAATAATGATAATAATATGAAAGGATTAGGAATAACAGTTTTTTTTTTTTTTTTAATGATTCTTTTATCTTTCTGTGAAGTGTATTTGTTTTTGAGACAAATTCTGTGCGGTTTTGAGGCCTTATGTTATGTCCTGATTTGGAATTGGAGATTTTGGCATTCTATTTTGATATGTCTTTTGTTTCTTCCTGTAATAAAGCAGAATTATGAAGTACAAGAAGTCTTTGATATGTAGCACTTGTGAACACCTTCCCACGTCGTCTTTGAAGTGAATTTGTCATATTTATTGTGTATATATTTGATGGATTTTCCTTTCATAGGGAATGATATTAACAGGCGTACGTAATGACAATTAACTTTAAAAAATAATTTCATTTGGAGAAGCATACTAAGGTATCAGATTAAGCATATTTATTTTCTTTTTGATTAACATGTATGGCAGAAAACAATCAAATTTCAAAGCCGTTTATTTTCCGGTGATTATCTCTTTATATATCTTAAACTTATCAAATAAAAAAGAAATTTCAGTAAGTATTCAACTTTCAGTTTTAAAATGAAGACCTTACTAACTGAAAATACAAAAGAAGTAGATGATCCTTTTGACACACGATCCTCTGCTCGCTTTTGCATAACCATAAACGTTTGAGTGTAGACCATTTGCATTAGTCAAATATTTTGTTAAATTCGGCTTTCATTAGTAATTATATCAATAAACATTGGTATATTTTCGGTAATGCACTACAATCATGCGTGATGAAGGATTAAATGGACAAAACATTTAATAAACGTATTTGTAAGAGAATTGAATTGAGACCCCCATTCGACGCTCCTATCTTCATTTATATACAGCCTTTTTTTTTTTTTTTTTTTTTTTTTTTTTTTAGATAAT